AGAGTTCGGCCCAACAATTGGGTTTGCCGCAAGGTTAATGTCAAACCCTAGAATAGAGAGAAAACCCTAAAACAGTTCGGCCGCTCCTTCTAGATAGGTCCAACCTATCTTGACTGATAGCAATCTCTAGAAAATAAATAAGACTTACCCAGAGAATGTTGTTCGCTACCTTCCAAGGTTGCCTGAACCCTAGCTTTCTCTGATTCTTCCTGATTACCAACACTCTGCAAGCCGTGGCAAGTCTTCAACAGCTGCTAAACTCTCCTGGTAACCTCCAAGAATCAGCCAACGAACACTTCATAAACTTCCAGCCCTAGATAGTTCTCATGTGGTCGGTTGGACTAGACTCACATGAGAAACCCTAGATAGGCTCTGATACCAAGTAGGCGATCAAGACTACAATCAGCCTTGAACCCTAATAGATTTCAGATTAGGAAAGGTAGAAGAAAAGAGAAAGAAAGAAAAAGAGAGGAGAAGAACTGGAGAACACAAAGGTTTGAAAGAAGTGACAGATTCTAATTGACCGGCCGCCGCCACTCTCTTAGTATTTATAGGTTATGTTCAGTACATAGGGGAAAATGACAGATCTGCCCTTAGTACTTACATGACAGATAAAGCAAATAAAAAACTGAAATAAATAACAACTAAAATAACAAACTGACCACCAACTAACACTAACATGACTGAAACAAATAATTACACATACTGTCCTACGAACACAGTGGGGACCACAGCTGTGGGGCCCACATCAGTGTTCTCTACAATATTCATCCTCAGTTTAATGAAAATAAAATAAAAGGAACCACAGCGACTTATTATCAACTTAACAGAAGATAAGACTTGACAATTAGAAATCCGAATATTGAACTGTCATACATGGTAAAACTTTCAAGGCGTTGTTCTATAGTTCATCAATCCAACAGAATTAAAAAGGAACTTTGCTTTGCTAAGAAAAAGAACTCAATTTGGTTGCAAGAATAATAGTTTTTATTGACTTTTGTTTAGATCCTTGAAATGGTGATGAGAACATTCATCCGTCTATTCAAATGAGTCTTGAAGTGATGAAAGAAACACATTTTCCAAGACCTGTCAAGTGTCCAGGTTAATCCAGTCTACCTGAACTGATCTGATTCTAATATTGGGTCAGAACCAATAATATAGGTCCAGTTACTTTAGTCACAATGATAATATTGGGTCAGAACCAAGTGTACCCTAATCTGGACCAACAAAGCTCCAAACCAATTATTTAACACTTGGAAAAGATGGCCCTCTTGAATGTTAAAGAGAATATATATATTTATCATTTTCTATATGATATATAAATGTCTTTTTATATCCAAGTCTCAGAACTTCAAAGCCTCATCATCTAACTGCCCATGTCCTCTTGCCTGCCCTAATTACCTGTTTCACAAGGGAACAGCCATGATTTTCTCCCCATTTAGTCAGCCAGTTGCACAAGCAGCCTTCACTGCATAATTCACACTTCACACAATCAAACAACAGACAGCAAGAACATTTTTGAAGGCTCCCAGCTAAGTTAGTGCTTCGTTGTTAAAGGGAAGTGTTAGATTCCATGGGAATAACCTGCTTCAGATTTAGCATTCCCTCCCCATTCATGGATGTTGCCAAATTTTCTGTTATGCTAGCCTTTGATGAAAGCCACTGTGGCATCAAAGAAGGTTGTTTCTTTTAAATGATGACCGTTTCTTGCAGGGGTGAAGTTCTGAATAGCTGTTTACATTCAATTAGGGAGCTTGTGAGACCAGCAATGCTGCGTGGAGCAGAGTGTTGAGCTGTCAAGAAACATGTCCAAAAATTGAGTGTGACAGAGATGCATATGCTGAGATGGATGGGTGCAAAAAAGGATAGAAAAATGAACTTATTCAAAGGAACCTAGGAGTAGCTCCAATAGAAGATAAATGAGAGAAAGTAGACCAAGATGGTTTAGTTACATGCATGGAGAAGACTATCCACAGCACCTGTAAGAAGAAGAAATCTGTTGCAAGCTGAGGGAGCTAGAAGGGCTAGGGGCAGACCAAAAAGGACACGGGTTGTAGTAAGAAGTGATTTTAGTGCCAATAATTTAACAACGGATACGGCACTAAACAGAATGGAATGGAAAACCAGGACTCATATAGCCTACCACATGTAGTTGGGATATCATAAGGCTTAGATGATTAATGATGACATTCAATTATGAAGCCTAAACTTGTTTTACTTTTTCTTCAAGAATCACTATAAATCAACAATAAATTTCTTTCTTTTCTTTGAAAAATGATCTCTTCCAGAAGATTAGTTATTAAACAGCCCGATTAATGAAGTGGGTTAATTCTAGACCTGTTACTCCCCTATAGGGTCTCAGTTGGTATTGGGTCTTTGTATTTTCTTATTGGTTTGGAACTGGGTCTGCCCTGATCCAACAGAGATCCAATAAATTGACAGGCCTAATGCAAATAAACTATATTTCATCCAAATACTTTGCCTCTATTGAAATGAGTCTGTTGCACATCTAGAAATTCAAGCAAGTGTTCCTGCCAAAAATCAGGATTCAAGTAACTCTAATTAACCGAGATATATAACTTTTTAGCTCTGCTGAGAAATATAAATATATCTCTAAAGAAGGCATTTTTTTAGAAAAAAGAAAGAGGAAACAAAAAACTTGGGAAGCCATCTGACAACATGTCTAAGTCACTCTAGTCACAGCACAGCATAATCAAGCTAACCTACATGTTTTGTGCAATAAGTATACTCATGCTGCCTGTATACCTAAGTATGAGGTAGTAAATTGTACAATAAGCTTGTTAGAGAATAAAACCTATTCAAGGACCTCACTTAACAGCTTAAGCTTTTAGGTTGAATGGTTCTTTGAGATGGTATCAAAGCCACTTTGACCAAGTGGTCTAGTGTTCGATTCTTGTCACCCCCATTATAATTAATTAAGTTTCAGCAAGGTATGGGTGGGCCTGTGCTGTCCACGCTTCAAGCCCAATGGGGCTTTCGTGTGAGGGGCCATGTTAGAGAATAAACCCTATTCAAGGACCTCATTTAACAGCTTAAGCTTTTAGGTTGAATGGTTCTTTGAGAAAGCTGTTTAAACCTTTTCCATACAAAGGAAGCTAATGGAATAAACTGAAAACAGCTGACAAAACGAAAAATTCCAGGATTGTCGATCTTGATTATAAAGAAAGAAACAGATGCACATACGACCATGACATATTCACAATCTTCTTATTCAATAAGATTACCAGAAAGAGCACTTCAAGTTACATTTACAATATACAAGCAATAAAAGAAGCACTTATTCGTAGAAGATTGCAGTTAATGGAAAATCATGCATCTAGAATGTGACTGCACCAGTAAGAAGAAATGTCACCTGCCTTCTTAATCATACTTGTTATATTTAAGGTTGTTACAGAGAACCAAGATGCTCCAATTTACCCTTTAGAAAGATTTTAGTATAGTTATAGAGACCAAAAAAATGAAACATCGTCCTAATTAGACCTATTTCAATAGAACATGAAATGAGCTCCCTCTCTTGCTGCTTTGACGCAACTAACAAACAAAAGAACCCAAAAAATAAATTAACTTAGAAACTTTGCACGAAAACTGCTCTAGTGAGAAATTCATTATGGTTTGATCTTGACCAATCAGGATTAAGCCCAACACTGACCTTAGATTTCATTTTCTTCCTACAAAGTACTTTATAGATACCCCCCCCCCCCCTCTTTTCCTGAATTCTTCTTTAGTTCACAACTAATTACCAAAGACATTATTAAAAGAAGGAACTTTAAACGAAAGAAAAAAAAAACAAAAGAAAACAGAGAGAAAATCGTAACAAAAGGAAGAGTTAATTAGAATTATAAATAAGTACTCCAAACTTAAGTTAACAATGTATCATTGTATGCACTGAGGCGAGGTGGAGGGAGAGAGATTAAGAAAGAGTAGTCAAAGATTTGACTTACCTCTTCATACTTTTGTGTGAGAGCGAGACGTTCGTCCTCGGACATGTCGGGCCTCAAAACGGCCATGGTCTCGTACTGGCGGAGGCCAGGTGGGCACTGAGGCTCCTCTTTGCCCTCCACCACCGAAATCGAAGAACCAGGTGGGGTTGGTGGATCATCTTCTCCGACTCCTGATTCAAAGAATGAGCCAGAGAAGTCAAGAGTTAGGGCTTTGACAGAAAGACCACGGAGGCATCTCCTCTGCTGTTGCAGGTGCTCGATTTTTCGAAGGAAAGCTCTTGAACTGACACTGGAAAAAAGGAAAGATGGAACTAACGACGAGGAAGAGTTGAGATTGTTGAGGAGTTTGGGACAGAAGGAAGAAGTGAGGGTTGAAGCCAACGAAAGAGAGGCCATGATTGCTGATTTTCTCCAGCGAAAAACAGAGCCGAAAAAGGAAATCTGGATAAGGAGTCATGTTGTGAATTGCCCACCCGGGCGTTCGCTACTCTCTCTCTCTCTCTACCCCCATCCTGCACGTGCAAGTACACATGTCATTGTATTTAGGATAAATTACAAAGACCCCCTTTACTATGCGGTCTGTGACAAAAACCCCTTTATGTGTCTAAGACCTCCCCTGTCTTATGATCGTGAGACCAAGACCCCCTTCTATTAGCCTTCCGTCCAAAAAGCTGTTATAATATTTGTTAATCCCCATATTACCCTTGTAATAACTATTCGGACAAGGGAAAAAAATATTGTTCATCTTCCCTCCGACCTCACTATACACGAACAATAGTGGCGGTTCATGCACTCCAGTCCAATTCCCCTTGTAATGGGTTGCGAGAGCACACGGTGATGTCCTCGATCCCTGTTTCTTCCTCCAACTTTTGCTTCAATTCATGCACTCTAGTCCCCTTGAAAATGAACGAAGAACCTTCAATGGTGTCATCAACATTTCCATTCTCATCCATAACATGGAAGTAGATTGTCCGGCCATTAGGCTTTGGTGGTGAATTATCAAAAGAAGTACTCGACTGAAAGCAATGAAATAAACAGAAAACCACCAACAAGTTAGTATCGATTGTAGAAGGTACTAAATCTATATATTGCGCATGTTGCAAGAATCAAATAAGACGAACCTCTAATTTTGATAATTTATTGGACTTAATCGAGATGGATGAAGGCGAAGTTGGATTGGAATCAGAGGTATCATCAGACTAGGGAATAGTTTGTGCAGGATGAACAGGGGAATCAATATGGATTTCAACGACATCAACATCCCATAAGTTCCAATCTTGAGTTGCAATTCTGTGAGTGATGTCGTGAGTGATGGAATTCCTTCAAGGAGGAACACCGCCATTTGCGTGCAAGAAGTTGCCGTAACGAGTCCTGAGCTTAAGTTGAAACCCTTCCTTGATGGGCTCCCACTCGACGGAGGAATCCAGCTTTCTGGGTGTAGTCTGAAGAACCTTCTTCCCGGTCATCCCAAGAAGGAAGGCCTCATTAGAGGCATTGAGATATCTACCATAGCAGCTCTTGAGACGAACATAGTTCCCCCCTTCAACGAACTCAACACCCCACTTGGCATTCCGAGACGAATCGTTGCGGTCTTGGGACACCGATTTCTTGTCTTCCTCGGCAAAGAGGTACTTCTCGTGGTGGCTCTGGAGACGAATAGCCTTGGCTTTGTGGAAAATTTCCATTGCTCCACTCTGATACCAACAGGAAAAAGGAATTATTAGAATAGAGTGGGCAAGATCCTAGATATGATGACGATGAATAAGAGAGAGAGAGAGAGAGAGAGAGAAATAACATAAAAGAAATTCAAACTTTTCAAGTTCTATTCTGGTCTCTTTTGTTTCTGAATCAAACCAACCATTTCAAGACTGCAACGCAGAAGAGGCTACCGAATGGGATCAAAGAAAGAGCAGAGATACACTCCTCAAAATAGGACAGAGAGAAATGATCAGAATAAAAAATAACAACATATATAAAATCTGTATCTAGGCTTCCTCGCGTGAATCGAATCAGTCAGTGAATAGGTTTTAAGCAAAAAATGGCAAAAATAAGAAAATAGAAAAAATTTAGTGGGGTATTTTGGTAATTTAACACATTATGTCATCTGACTTAACGGTCAAGGGGGGTCTTTGTCTCATGGTCATAGTACAGGGGGGCCTTTATTGCAAAACAAAGTACAGGGGGGTCTTTGTAATTTACCCTTGTATTCACACAATATTAAAGAATAAATATTGCCAATTATGAATTTATGATTTCGTTTTATCACTAAATCACTTTTTTTTTTCATAGGGCAGAGTGAAGTTATTGGCTGAGCTCCCCCAAAATTTTTCCATCGCCCTCGCCTCAAATTTTTAGGCTCAGTTTGGAAGGTGTTATATAGAGTGTAAAACCTTGTATTTTGTATTATTTTGTATGTATTTGCACTTTATATATTTACATTTGTATTCTTTCTAAAGAGAAAGTGTTATTGGATGAGTGGACCTCAATACTTATTTATTTCAATGTAACCTAATTTGATTTATTAAAACCTAAATTCTAATTTTAACATAATAATTCATTATTTTTTCCTTTGTTAATCCAATTTGTTTGAAATAGATTTTCACGTTGGGTTTGAATTATTTATTTTATTATGTAAGGTTAAAGTGGACAATGCCTAAAAGCTCCAAGCCACTTTGAGTGAAGAGAAATTCCAACCAGCAGGACTTGGAAGAACAAGTGAAGGAACAACTTAAGAGAGAGAAAATTATATGGGCCCTGAAATCCAGAAAAAATTGGCTATGATTAGGAGACAAGAATATATACAAGGTTTTTCCATCAGGCTACGATGGGAAGTAGAGCAAGAAATAGAATAGTAACCATCAAGGATGAGAATGATCATTGGGTAGTGGGTAGACTTGTTCATGGTCCGGGCTTAGGCTTCGCTTTTGTCAAAATTCTAATGGGCCCAGCTTGTAGCCCGAGCCTGAGATAGTGTAAGGTTGGGCCCAAAGCCTGGCCCGTGAATAGGTCTAGTAATGGGGCAAGACCAAATTTCAAATACCTTAGTTAATTATTTCAAAAAATTGTTTGAGACTTTAGAGCCAAGTTTGGAAGGGAATCTGCTAGATTTAGTTTAGGTAAGTGAAGAAGAGAATGAAAGACTTCAAGAAGAGGTTAGTGAGGAAGAAATTAGAGGATGCATCCCCACAAAGCCCTAGGCCCAAATGGCTTTCCTAACTCTTTCTTTAGAAATATTGGAATACTATGGGTCAAAGTATAATCAAAGCTATCAAAGATTTTTTCTCTTTGGGTACTTTGATGCAAGGTTTTAAATTTTGCAACGTATCGGCCGATATGCATTGCTTCGGAAGAGTTCCGATATACGAAACATATATAATTAGATGGTTTTATATTTTTTCGTCCGTATCGGATCGGACACATTATGTATTAGCCAAATTTAATTTCCCTCTCCTTTTTAAATTTAAATTTAATTCATCTCTTTGAGACAATTTGAGATGTCACTAAATGCTAATATTATTTAATTAAATGCTCAATTGAGTTACCTTTAATTATGACATTTAATATGTCATTAAATATTATTTAAGTCAAATAACTTGTTAAAAATCACAAACAGAAGATAATAAGTTTCGAACCAAGTCATTTGCTTACAACAATAATTAATTAACCATTATGCCGACCTTAATTGATTATTAAAACAACATATTTTTTTATACTTAAAGTAATCTTTCTTAACTTGGTGGATGTTTCCAACAAATGCTAAAAATTTGATTATTAATATTTATATAAAAATAAGATGAATACAAATATTTATATAATAATAGGTATTAACTAATAAATGACTTCAAAAAATAATAACTAATAAATATTAGTATATATACACACATACATTTTAATTCTTCTATTATTTTTCAACGGTTACTGATGTAACCGTTTTTGGTCACGTACCATTTTTTGTGATGTATAAATTTTTTGGCTAAGTACCTCGTGTTTGACCTGGTGGTGACGTGCCTTGGTGATGAGCTACTTGGTGGCGAACTCCCTAGGGGAGAACTACTTGGTGACGAACTGCCTGGT